AAAAAAAAAAAAAAAAAAAAAAAAAAAAAGTCATAAGCATTAAACGTTCAAAAAATAGAACTACAAGACAAAAACACAGGGTGGCACCTGACTGGCACCAAACTATCCTGAATTCCCAGACAGAACTAGGAATCAGAAAGAAATATATGACGACAATGCCCACTTCATTATCACAAACTCAAAGGTTTTTTTTAACTACATCTATTCAATAACATTCTCAGAAGCACACAATCTAAACTCCTAGTGCATACCAAAGGCAGACACTCAGAAGCTCCTAAAACTCCCCTTAGCCTGAGATATTTCTATAAGCTGGAATGTGTAGGTCAAGTAACCACTTAACCTGTTATTATCTACAAAATGATGGTGCTGGTTTAGAATCATTTTCTCAAAATATGGTCCACAGCCTACCTATATCAGAATACTTGGTGTACTTGTTTAAAAAACAGATTCCTGGCTCCTTCCTGATCTCAAACTTTGTGAGGGCAGGTCCAGGAATCTACCTTTCTAATAAGCAATGTGAGTAATTCATATACAACTCAAGTTTGAGAATCATGAGATTAAATCTAAAGTCTCTTTTAGCCAGTAAAAAATGGACTGTTACCTGAACAAAGACCTTGAAACCTGATCATCCCACAATATGACATATCTTTTTAGTAAAACTCTTCCCCCATTAAAAAATGTATTTCTAACATATGTGCATGTTATGTGTGAATATGTAGTCTAAGTCATAAGCTGGCCAGGCCCTTTCACTTTCAAATGATTATGCACAGAAACATGAAACAATTATCATGTAGTTGACATCCCCTTTCCCTTTATTACCTATCCTGAGTTGAACTCTTGTAATCAATATGGGCATCCTCACTTCTCACCACAGCATTATTTCTGTTCTTCTTAGAACCACTTCGAAACAATTCAACTGCAGTTTTCAACACTCCTTCATCCACAATAAACACATCCTTATATAGAATTTCATACAATACAGCTGAAAAAAATGGCCAAAATTCCAACTGTCAAAATATGATTTTTATAACAATGTGGAAACCATAACACATCATACAAAGTCAGTAAGTACCAACAAGGTTTTATGCTTTTTTTTGTTTTCAAGTTGGAGTCTCACTCTGACACCCAGACTGGAGTGCAGTGGCCACTTCCGGCCACCGCAGCCTCGACCTGCTGGGCTCCGGTGATCCTTCCGCCTCAGCCTTCCAAGTAGCCGGAATTACAGGCATGTGCTACCACGCCCAGCTGATTTTTTGATTTATTGTAGAGATGAGGTCTCGCTGCCCATGCGGGTCTCGAACCCGTGGGCTCAGGCAATCCACTCACCTCAGCCTCCCAAAGGCGCGGGATTACAGGCTGAGTCACCGAGCCCGGTCTCCAACAAGGTTTTAAAAGGGCTATTTATGGTGGCTCCCTCAAAATTAAAGACTGGCAACAAATCATCTGAAATCATACCCCAAAATTTATAAAGCCTTCACATACCCTGACAAATAGCTGCACTTGACTGAAATTGTTTTGAATACACAGAATCATAATGACCATTACTTGAATAGCAGAGTAGAATCTAAAGAAAAGAAAAACACACAAAACAATTAAGTGAATGTTTCACATCTTACAACCAAAAAATTGAGCTGATAATTAACTTGAAATTAAGTTGGTAGTCAGCAATTAATAAACTAAATGTATTACTTTTGAAGACCTAAATATAAGGAAATACAAGCTGTACCTCATGAAGAAATCTTCTTGGCAGTGACTTTCACTTATTTATTTGTTTGTTTATGTTTAGCTCTGCCACTCAAGCTGGAGTGCAGTGACAACTGTAGCTCACTGCAGCCTCGAACTCTTGGGTTCAAGAGATCCTCCTGCCTTAGCCTCCCAGTAGCTGGGAATACGGGCAGGTGTCACCACACCCAGGTAATTTTTTTTTTATTTTTTGTAGAGACAGGTTCTCACTAAGGCTGGTCTCAATCTCCTGACCACAAGTGATCCTCCCACTACAGCCTTCCAAAATGCTAGAATTACAGGCATGAGCCACTGTGTCCAGCCAGCAATGACTTTTAAATGCCAAGATTAAAATCACTATCAAAGTAATATTATGAGTCTCAGTCACTTTCTTTAATACACCAGCAAGTCCCGATTCACAAATTTACAAAAAAATGGGAACTTTTACAAATTGAGTTACCAAACATAACAGCCTAACAGCTGTCAAAAGACCCAGGTTAACTTCTAAGAACGGCTGGAGAAATTAGGTTAAAGACTCATATACTTACTCCAAACTCAGACTAAGGGAGGAGAGGGACTTCAATTTATTTAAAAGGTTATCCATTATACTGAATAGCAATATATTAATGCATTCCATGGCAGCAATACTACTAGAGTGATTTCTTCAATGAATTAAGGCAGGGAGGTGGCTACCAAACTTCTTAGCTGATTCCTTCAATTCCTAGTTTGGTTTTGTTTTTCAAAAAAATTCAAAGACCATGCTTGCTAACCAAATTTTTTTAAGTAAAAACACTCCACGTGACAACATTTGTACACACAACTGCTCCAAGACCTTTCTAAGTTTCTGTTCAAAAAAAATCTGTCTTAGCCAGGTGCAGTTGCTCACGCCTGTATTCCTCGTTACTCAGGAGACTAAGGCAGGAGAATCTCTTGAGCCCAGGGGTTTGAGGCTGTAGAGCGCTATAACTACACCTGTAAATAGTCACTGCACTCCAGCCTAGGCAACGCAGTGAGACACCTACCTCCTTAAAAAAAAAAACAAAAAAGAACAGAAAAGCAAAACTGTCTTGTATAAGGGATATATCTGTAGTGATTCAGGCTCTTTCATTTTGAAGCTATCTCTGGTATCAGCAACTGAGACTAAAGACAATTCTTGTGATCTATGGAAAGATGCTGCCACCAGGTATCCTTGGCAAACATAATTATCCAAAACACTTTTTTCTACCTTTTTACACTACCATGGGCTCACTTCTCCCAATAATCAAGTTCTCTGATCCCAGTTCTATTAGTCTTTGCTAGTCTTTTAATGAAATCACCATTCTATTTTACTAATAATCCGCTTCAAAGTATTGAGGTCAATTGTCAAGAGTAGGTAACACACAGTAACGTTGAAGTTATAAATAAGTTTCTCCCACCACAAGGAGTACATACATTTAAGAAGAGTTTATTAACCCATAAAAACAGTGAGCAGATTTTGAGCAGAGAAGACCCCTGTATTTTGGGCTACAAGAACTAAGAAATGTTAAGAACTGGAGGCAGCTGTTAAGGAGTTAAGAAATCCAACTAACCAGAACTAATGAACAAATAAGCAGCTCTTGTGGAAAAACAAACAAAAAAAGCAGATGACTATCCAACTTCTCTATTCAAGTAGCAAGCATTTCCATTTTGATTAGAAGAGGCAAAATAAAGTAAGATGGTTTTTATGTTCCTGGTGGTATCCCAACATACATTGGTAATTCTTTCATACATACTTGTAGGTGTTGTATTTGGGAGTGGGTAGGTGGAATGTAATGGCAATAAACTAGTGGGAAAAAATGGGGCAGATCTATAATGCTGATAAGGATATCTAAAAAAAAAACAAGTAACAGAATGTTAAGTATGTACCCATATACATTAACAAAACATTCATGCAAAGAGAATGATAAAGAAGGATACCCACCAATACTTAATAGTTGGTACCTTGAAGCATATGTGACTGAAGAGCATGAATAGGGACTTTACTTTTTACTCTACGTTTCTAGAATTTTTTTGGTGATTTTAAAAAAAAATTATTTTAGAGATATAAGGTACAATTCAGGATTACATCAATAAGGGTACCTGATCCCAAACCAGGCAAAGTGAGGATCAATGGGAGGCCCAAACTTGATCTGTACAATGACCATTTATGTACATTTCTAGATTTAAGTTTCATTTTAGGCCAGGCGCAGTGGTTCACACCTGTAACAATAGCACTTTGGGAGACAGAGGAGAGAAGACTGCCTGGGTCCAGGGATTTGAGACCAGCCTGGGTAACTTGATGAGACCTCATCTCTACAACAGATCAAAAAATTAGCTAGGCGTGGTGGCACATGCCTGTAGTTTCAGCTACATGGAAGGCTGAGGTGGAAGGATTACCTGAGCCTAGCAGGTCGAGGCTGCAGAAATCATGAGCATGTCACTGCACTCCAGCCTGAGTGACGAGTGAAATACCGACTCAAAAAAAAAAAGTTTCATTTTGTTTTTAATATAAGTATGTGCTTCCTTCTAGATAGAGCAAAGTGAGCTAAGTGATGATGGCTAGCTTTTAGGAACATTGGTTTTAACACTGAATACATTTAAGAAATTGAAGACAACTATATAGAATGCAGAGTTAAGTCAACATAGAAGGGAAAGGGTACCTAGGCAAACATTAGGCATTTATTTCTTTTAAAGTTTACACTAAAATATACTTTAGAAAGCTCATTAATAATGTTTACTAATGACGGGTTCCATGGCTCAGCCTGTAATCCTGGCACTTTGGGAGGCCGAGGCGAGTGGATTGCCTGAGCCCATGGGTTCGAGACTAGGCCGGGCAACCTAATCTCTACAATAAAGACCAAAAAAAAATTAGCCAGGCACGGTAGCACGCACCTGTAGTTCCGGCTACTTGGAAGGCTGAGGTGGAAGGATCACCAGAGCCCAGCAGGGCCATGAGTGTGCCACTGTACTCCAGCCTGGATGACGGAGTGAGACTCCAACTCAAATAATAATAATAATAATAATGCTTACTATCTTTAATAAAGTCATTTTTTTATTTTTCATTTTTGAGTTGGAGTCTCACTCCATCACCCAGGCTGGAGTGCAGTGGCTCGCTCACAGCCACCCCAGTATCGACATGTTAGGCTCCAGCGATTCTTCCGCCTCAGCCTTCCCAGTAGCCGGAACTATAGGTGCACGCTTCCACACCTGGCTAACTTTTGGTTTATTGTAGAGATAAGGTGTCACCAAGTTGCCCGGGCTGGTCTCGAACCTGCAGGCTCAGGCAACAATCCACTCACCTCGGCCTCCCAAAGTGCTGGAACTACAGGCTGAGCCACTGAGGCCAACCTAATAAAGTCATTTGTTAAAACCCAAATAATTTAAATGTAAATCTTAGAAGTCTGAAGTGTGGTAAAGCAACAACGTTTCAGGTAAAGCATATTTTACGTATGGCTTTTCCATACTTAAATTTCAATATGAACAATCATACTCATTTTATAAATTCCCAAATCAGACATATATATGTTTGCACTATCCTGTGCATGTAAATACACAATTGCTGTTATGTATTAGCTCTATTAGCTCTATGTACCTGTATGGATGAGCCTTGTACATGATATTTGCTGACTGTACACACTCAAAAGGTCTGACATTTTTGTATTTCTATGGCTCCCAATGGGTAATATTTTCCCTTAATTCGCTCAATAATATGTCTGTAAGATGTATAAGATTCATTTAATATGAACCGTTTAATTGTAGGAACTAAGTGGTGGTATATGGATGTTCACTATATGAATTTTTCAACTTTCTTCTGTATAAAAATTTTCAGAATCAGAAGCTGAGGAAAAAAAACTGAACTGAGGGTTTAAAGATCCCTGGTGAAGATCTAAATGTTCAAATCTCATATCAGGCACTGCTGTATACAGCTGCTAAAACACAAAAGCTATCACTTCTTTTCCTCAAACAATTCTATGTCACACCTGCACCTAAAATATTCAATTACTGTTTAGGGTCAAGTAAACTGCTTGAAATTAACTTTAAAATACATCAAAAAAAGAAAGAGGGATTGATGAATGGATAAAGGAACATATAAACAAGAATACTGAAAGATTAACAGCAGATCTTAGGTGGTAGGCAGGTATATGGATGTTTTCTATAAAATTCTTTAACTTTTCTGTCTGTTTGAAAATCTTCATAACAAAATGTTGGGAAAAAGCTTCAAATGACTATTCTGTACAATAAAAAGCCAAATTCTTTGGTATGGCCTACTCCACCTCTCATTTTGTAACTCTAGCCTATCTTTTCATCATTGCTCTCCCCACATCCAACTACTTAAGTCCCAAAGGGTCTCGTTTCCATGACTTTGCAGATAGTATTTCCTCTGAATAGACTGCTCTTCATACTTGAAGAATTACTTTTTTGATACTCCTCTTAAATGTTACTATGAAGCTTTCTAAACCCCCTCAAGCAGAGAAGACTTTTTCTTGTATGTTCTTTGTGCATAATTTTATTATAAAATGCGTCACCTCACTGTAATTAACTATTTGCGTGTCTGTCTTCACAGCCCCTTAAGCCTGTGGGGCAAGGATTTCCTTGATTCATTTAAGTATCCCGAAAGCCCAGAAAAGTGCTTGTTACACTATAGAGGCTAAATTTTTGCTGAACAAATTAGATGGTGGCCATTGGTAAAATACTTAATGTGTCCCAATTTATACTTACCTTCTAAGTTATTTCCTACTCAGTCTTCTCTATTTCTACTGCCACTTCTCTGGCTTACTGTAACAGCATCCTAACAGTTCTCTCAGTGTTGTCTTGTCTTACTATCATTAAAATGGTGCCTGAATTGTGCTCCATGGTATGAAATAAGATTCATAAAACTCAAATATTGTGTAGTCTATATCCCCTAATAAAATAATCAGGATAAAAGCCTTCTCTTAAAAACTTTTTGGAAGAAAAGCTATGTGCTGAAAAACAATTTATCTGCTGAGTATTCTCAACCAAAAACTTCCTATATTCTCCAAGTACTTTAGCAGGCAGTAGTATAACACTATCCCTGCCCTCAATAAACTTTCAGATTAATGAAAGAAATAGATATGAAAATAAATACAATGTTATACAAAGTTACTTGGGAGATATTAGGGGAACAAAAAGGGAGGAAATAATTCCAGGAAGTCGGTAAAGTTTCAGAGGAATTGACATTTCAGGTACAAAGGGACAGAAAGTATGAAAGTCAAACTATCTGGAAGCATAATATACTAAGGATGGAAGAAAACGAAACTGGTTTAGGGCCCTTTATGACACTGAGTGTGCAGCTTCAGAGTCTGAACTTTATCCTCTAATCACTGAGGAGCCAGCTGGGGGTTTGGGGTGGTTTTATTCTGTGACAGAGTTATGACAAGATCAGATCTGGAGGGGTAGTTAACAACACTGAGAATGACTAATTGGAGAGAAAAAGGTTGGTGACAGAGAATCTTATCATTTAGACCGTTTGTACTTTTTTATTAATTAGGTTAAAAATTATGTCTTAATATCCTGATAAGCCAGCAGTGTCATTCAACTTCTTTCATATAAGTCAACATTCACACATCTTCTTACCTTGTCTTCATAGCCATTATCTGTGACATAAGTTGGAGGCTTTCCAGGGTAGCGGTAAAGAATGAAATCCCGACTACATGGGTAGAAAACAAAAGTGGGTAGGAAGAGATAATTTGATATATGAAAGAGATAATTATAGAAACAAGTATTTGTGCTTTTAAACTGCCTACCTTATTTATATAAGACAAATATTCGGCTTAATATTTAGCTTTAAAATAATCCAAAGAGGCTAAACGATTTAAAGCAGACAGCTAACCACCCTAAAGATGTATGAGTTTTCAAAAATGTATCTTAATTTGGGGGGAAGAGGAGTTAAGACAACAAATTAACAACTGTAAGTATGTTTTTGAGTTTTAGGGGTGGGGCTCTCTTATTTAAAGCAGGAGTTGGCAAGTGTGGTTTTTTTTTTTTGGGCAAGAGGTCAGATTATAAACATTTCAGTTTTTGCAGGCCATATGGTTTATTCAGTTTTGTTTTTGTAGCATGAAAACAGTCATAGACAATGCATAATTGAACTAGCATAACTATTTTCAATAGTTTCATTTATAGACACTGAAGTTTGAATTTCATATATGCCACTATATCATCCTAAGAATTATGAGGAAATCTCATACAGATCAGATTACTCAAACGAACAAGATTTCCACTAGCCTCTAACAACATTATATAGCTGTTTTTAAAAACCCTAGTCTTCATAAATGCCACCTTTGCAGTTTTAAAAATCAAAACAGAACTTACAAAGCAGTGCTTCTCAAATTTCCCCTATTAATGCTCCCCCAAGGAGCCTTTTCATACTTCCCCATGAAATTATAATACCACAGATATTATATGTGCTTATGTACTGTGACCCTGTAAAGGATCATAAACCATTGAAATATCTAAAAATTTTTTGCCCCCTCACCCACCTATTTCTACTCTATTGGGAGTGATACCACCCAATGAGAATGCATGCAAAAGCAGCACAAAGTTAAACATACAAGAGTTCTAAATATTATTATATCCTACAAGAATATCAGCAGTTCTTTTTAATCTTCCACTTCAACAGACACAAATGCTAGAAGTAAGGAGCGTGTCTATAATAAGGTTCTCCACCTAAAAACTGCACCAATTTTACTTTGTTTAGAATTCTTCATTCTACATTTCAATATATCAAATCTCAAATTTCCCCAATCCTGAAGGAACTATAATACAAACCGTATACACACATGTGTGCATACATTTCCAAAGAAAAGGGGATACGACTTACTTATAAATTAGAGAAAGAGCTCTTATTTCCAGCTGGCCGGCACTTTCCTAAACATAAATAGTGCATAGAGTTTTTAAAAACATTCTGTAGCTAGGAGGTAGAAGTTTTTGCAAGTTCAACTTTTTTTTAAAGCCGCTTAGCACTGTTTTAAATGAAGAATTTGCAGAACATAGTATAATTTTTTTGAGGCTTGGGGTATTTTGATAGCTACTCATTAAAATAAACTTAGCCTAAAAAAAAAAAATGGACCTAATCCCTTCTTAGTCATTAAGTAATAAGGACAAGTAGTATAAAATATTTAAAAGACACAATAAAAATGGGACTAGTGTAAGAAAAGAAAGGTACCAGGGTATTCAGTAAATGTTTTTAAGTCCAGAAGTACAGAATTAATTTTATCACATAAAAATTCTTTCTAAATAAAACAATTTATGGATTTTACTCCCACATAAAAGGAGGATAACTACAAATCAGGGGAACACATTAATTCCAGAACTATAGAATTAATTTTATCACATAAAAATTCTATCGAAATAAGGTCTATATTTATGGATGTTACTCCTACATAAAAGGGGGATAACTAAAAGTCAGGGGAATGGTTTAATAAAAAAATAATGACCTCTTAGTAACATTCATTATCACCCTCCTCCCCAACTAAAAGTAGAAAGGCTTAAGTTTGTTCTTTTTCCAAACAGTGTGGTACTCTTTTTTCTAGTCTACTGTTGATGGGATTAACATACAGTTCTCAATATTTAACACATAATAGTAAGTCAATTGCCAGCCTCTAAATTTCTGCAAAAACTATTTGATTAAACACAGCTGAGTACTAAAGAAAATATTTTGGGTCTGGCTAAAGTGATATAGTTGAATGAATATTTAGGTTACTATTCCAAGTAACTCTGCAAAGATTAAACACCGGTATTTGATCTTACCTTGGGATCTCCCAACCGTTCCAGGTATTTCTCAAAAGATCCCTCCACATACTTCAAAAATAAAATAAACTTGACTTAACCAAATACATAGCATTAGTGAAATCTCATCACATTCTGCAATATTACTCTCCAATGTTTTTTTGTTCAGCTCAACAATTATGGTATTAAGTTACACTTTGCACAGCACCTCAAGAAGATTTATGCATACACAATAGTCATGAATGGAGAAAAGCTGGAGTATGAAAGTATCTTAGAAACTGGTCCTGGCTTATCCACACATCAGTGCATTTCACCAAATGGTATACTTTCGAATTTCTTTTGAAATACTAACTTAAGTTCCTTGACAATTTGCATGAACCACGCAACCCTAGTAATAAGGATCTCAAATTTGACAGAAGATATGCACTTACAAAGTCAAACTGAGGAACTTTAAGGACAATTTCATTTCAAAAAAGCCCAGGGCACAAGGGAAGTTTTTGGGGTAATACAAATGTTCTATAACTTGACTGTGGCAGCAGCTGCATGATTGTATATCACTGCCAAAGCTAAAAATACTAAACTTAAAACGGTAAATTTTATTATATGTAAAATACATCTCAATAAAAATGAAATTAAACTTAGTGAATAAAATAGATTTATATCTAGTTCCATGTATATCACTAGACTTTTAAAAATAAGTTTAATTTTTTCTTAATTTTTGAAAGTTTTGAAGTATAATTGACATACAGTAAAGTGCACAATCTAGGCTTGGCACAGTAGCTCACGCCTGTAATCCCAACACTTTAGGAGGCCAAGGTGAAAGGATCAGTTTAAGCCAGGAATTCAAGACCAGCCTAGGCAACAGAGAGAGACCTACCCGTCTCTACAAAAAAAAATAAAAATAAAAACTTAGCCAGGCCCCTGTACTTCCACCTACATGGGAGGCTGAGGTGGGAAAATTGTTTGAGTCTTGAAGTTTGAGGTGGCAGTGAGCTGTGATCATGCCACTGCATTCCAGCTGCATGACACAGCAAGACCCTATCCCACAAAAAAAGTGCACAATAGTACAAATAACTTTTGACTTATGTATGCACTCATGAAACTATCATATCAAGATAGTGGATACATCTATCAATGCCCCAAGTTTCCTTGTGCCTCCCTATAACTGATATATAACCACTGATCTGTTTTCTGTCACTATAGATCGGTTTGTATTTCTCGCTAGAATTTTATGTAAAGAAAAATCATACAGTATAAACTTTGAAGGGGGTCTGGCTTCTAATACTCAGTATAATTACTTTGAGACTCACCAATGTAGTTTTAAAACTTTACACATCTTTTTTACTCAAAATGTGGTCCATGAACCAACAGCAAGCAACATTTGGGAGTTTGTTAAAAATGCAGAAATATTGGGCCCCAGCTCAGACCTACTGAATCACAATCTGTATTTTAACAAGATCCCCAGGTGATTTGTATGCACAACAATAATTGAGATGCACTGCTTTACACCATGGTCTTGAATTTGAAGTAATGTCACTAATAATCTGTTTCCCAGGTGTGGAGAAGACAACACTCAATTTCAAGGTAGCAAGCTTTAAAGTCAAGACTCCATCATATAGTTTTAAAGGTCACTGAAACCTACTGAGAAAATTAAGAGTAAACCTCCAAAAGCAGGCAAATACCCTTAACAGTCAGAAGAAAACAAATAGTACTGGCAGAGCCAGCAGTGTAAAAAAAAAAACGCACACACACAAAAGTTTTGATTCAGTATTTCAAACCAAACCTTGATAAAACCTCCAATTTCATTAACAAGAATTCAAATACTTGAACATGTACAAAGATGGCCCCCTAAATGCTGTTTTATTTTATCTAAAGTCAGTCATTAATGACAGAGCTCCAATTACCAATACTTGTCACATGAAAAGACTAGATATTTAGACTGATTTAGGTCCTTACAATTAAGTTTTACAAGACTCCTCAAACTGATTGGCTGAAGATTACTGTACACCAATAGCAAAAACATGGAACCAACCCTGGTGCTCATCAAAAGTGGACTGGATAAAGAAAATATGGTACATATACACAATGGAGTATTACACAGCCATGGATAGATTTAGAGTCCATCATATTCAGCAATCTATTACAGAAACAAAGAACTGAAAACCACATGTTCTCACTTATAAGTGGGTCCTGAACATTTATCACACTACTAGAAAAAAGGGGGGAGTCACGTAACCTCACTAAGGGTAGTGGACCCTAAACCAAGTAAGGTCCAGATGAAGGCCCACACTTCACCGGCTTTTAAATAACTCGTATACCTAATCCTGATTGTACCCCATATCTGTACAATAAAATAAAATTTAAAAAAATATTACTGTGCACAGGATTAATCAAGAAAATAGGAGTTTCTATTTGTACATATTTTAAAATATGCATTTCATGATATTAACAGAGCCAATCCTTCATGAACTATTATTGTTTAAAAAAGAGTATATGGATAATACAGAACAGCAATTAAAATGTAACTTTTTAGGGTTGGGGGTTTGGTGCGGGGGGGGGGGGGGAAAGCAGTAGTAGGAAGGATACAAATTAATTTTTCTTAGTTTTTAATTAGAATCCTAAATGTACTTCTGGGAGCAGGTCCAGAAGAAGCATGCTAGCTTGTGGGAAGAAAGTCAGCTAGGAATTAAATATTTGCTATTGAGAGAAGATTGCATAATATAATTTAATTCTGGCAGGTGCTCAAAATTCTTTTCCCACCTACTACATATTCTACCAATAGTTCTCCCCTGGGTGTGTATTCTACTTACAGACTCGAAAGTTTGTTGATTTTCCCTCATATATGAGACACAAGCCTTCCTGATTTCCAAATGATGGACCTGACTGCAAAACAACTAAAAAGAAGAGAAAGAACAGCTCACTGTCAGAAGTAATTTGAAACAGAAGCTTCTAAATCAAGACTATGAACTGGACACTTAAGCTTCCCTTAGTCAGAACATATGTAGGAAACTGGAAAATTAAATCATATCTTACTTTTTTTTTTTTTAACCATCCTTAGTGGGAGTGGGGAGGGATGATTCTGCCATGTCCCACCACTCCCTTTTTTCTTATTTGCATAACCTGTACATTTTTTCTTAGTTATAAAATTTAGAGGAAGCAGGGGATGCTTACAAAGGATAAAGATGTATTTCAAACTTGTCTGTAACCCCATTATCTTATTGCTCCTACATTACAAACTGGCCTTTGAAAAACAGAAAAGATAGCAAAGGCACAACAACATATTTAGACTAAACAGTAAAGGCATGCACCAGGCTAAAAAGGAGCAGCCAGCCTCTCTCCAGTACCTGATAAGAGACTTTTTTTGGGGGGGGGGGTTCTTTTGGTATCCTACTGGTCTAGCTAAAGAACCATGCCATGTATCAAACTCTGAAAACTCAGTATAGGGAAGATATATTTTCCTTTTACCTGCTCTGAAATAGCCCGAAAGAGGCAAGAGGCATCCTTGGCAGTCAGTTTTCGAAACAGTCCTAAACTGCCTAAATATTCATCCATTGATGTCTCATTCAGAGACTTCTGGCCACAGTACTTTCTCCATCCTTTATGCATCGTGCACGGGGATGGAAGGGAGAAAGGAACAGAAGTGTGGCAAGAAGAAAAAAGCAGGATGCAGGTAGGAATAGGCAGCAGCGACAAAGGCTGGCTTATGCGGGTATCCAGCTGCAGAATCTTGGCACTTCCCAGGACCAGAAGTAATGGGCTGGCTTGCCCAGGACAAGTTGGAACCCTGTAAAAAAAAAAAAAAGAAAAAAGAAAAAGAAGACAACGACGACAAAGAGCAATGCTCTAGGAATAGGGAACTCAACTTGAAACATGAAAGCAGGTGCTTACAGAGCTGCCTCCCGGGGAAGAGTGGAATTAACCCAAGCAGCTCAAGGTTGAGAAAAGTATCCATAAGCAGCTGAGCATCAGGACCAGAAGGAAACCAAGCTTGCAGCTTAACTCAGGGCAACTGCTGCACGAGGCTACAAAGGGACTACAATAAGGCTCAGGTGTACAGAATGTAGCTGGGTCCACATTACACTGCTTAAAGATCTCTGCCTGAATTTTCAACTATAGTAAGTCCCCTACATACAGTCTTCCCTGCTCCTTTCACAGTTTCAGGGAAGTAAGGAAAGGGGATGAATCTGAGCCTAAATAACTAGTAAGCTTTTGCATTAAGAATATCTTTTTAAAAAACAAAAAAGGGGGTGGGACCTCCCTTGATCTTTAAGGGTAGTTCAAGCAAAGTACCAAAGCAATTACCTGGATATTTCAGATATGATGATGAAGTAATCTCATTTAGTTTTAGATAATAATAACTCTGCTAAAGTCACAGAAACTAAATCTATTAGCTGTGCTAGGAATCCCTGATACAGTTCTTAAGTAGTGTCTCCAAAGTATTGTACAGCACTAATAAAAAGGAAAGATGCAAAAAGTTTCTTAAACAATGGAAATAAAAATGTAAATGGAAGCAGCATGAAAAGAATATCTTATCCACAAACATTTTAATAACCTACCTTTAAAACGCTGTGGCACAGTATGAAAGGCATTGAACGTGAAAGGCGTGTTTCAATGTATTATTAGGGCATTTTGCCAGAAAAAAACTGCTCTGGATTCTGAGAAAAACAAACTAAAATATTAAGGGTCAAGGACAGAACTAGTTACATTTATTACTTGACTCCACAATCAAGTGTCTTATTTTTACTTGAATGCTAAAATCCAGTTCCTTTCTTAAAGAATTGAATTAAGAGTTCCAAGTGTTAGAAAACAATAATATATAGGACAAAAGCTGGCTTCGGAAAAGTTGTTACATTAAGCTGCTTTCAAGGTCTTTTTTTTCTTTTTTGTATTTGTGGATCCAGTTGTAATCATGACTGTCCCCTATAGAAAAAGCATCATAATCTATTTTATAATTTAGGAAAAAAAATAATGGTTAACATGGCAAAAAAGGAATAAATCTTGACTTCCCTTAGCAAGTCAATTTAAAATTACCGTATTTGTTTTATAAATAAACCATAACACTGGGGAAATGATACCTTTTACAAAAGTTCTGAAACATGCTGTTTAGGAAGAGGGATCACCATCTTTCTTTAAGGCTGGTAATTCACTGAGAAAAATTACTTAAGGGTTATAATTTAGAAGTTAAAACATTTTTTACTTATTTTACTTGCAAAGAAAAATACAAAGTCTTCATATCGATTGCTTTTTAAAGTAAAAATAAAGCATATAAAACTTAATACAATCTATATACTTCACTTTGAGGAAGGGAATGGGGAAGAAAAAATCAAAAAAGAGATAGAACCAGAAAAGTAATAGAAGAAAACTGAAAACAAGCACAAGTAAAATTGGGGACAGGAAGACAAAAGGAGAAAAAGGATAGTAACACACAAGGAAGCACACAGAAGTAGACCCACACAAATAGTCAATTGATTTTTGACAAAGGTACACGAGCAGTTCAATAGACACAAGATAGTATTCTTCATCAAATGGTGCCTTAACAATTGACCACCCAACATGCAAAAAAAAAATTCTCAACCTATACCTCACATTTTGTACTATAATTAACTCAAAATGGATCACAAATCTAAAGGTAAAATAAAGCTTCAAAATGTGTTAGTTTCCATCTTTTTTTTTAATCAGTCTCACTGTGTCACCCAGGCTGGTGTGCCGTGGCATGATCATGGCTCACCAGAGCTTACAACCTCCTGGGCTCAGGTGATTTCCACCTAAGCCTCCCAGTAACTGAGACTGTGGGACTGACTACAAGGCACGTGCTATCACGCCCAGTTAATTTTTTTTATCTTGTTTTAGAGACGAGGTCTCACTATATTGTCTAGGCTCATCTCAAACTCCTGGGCTCAAACAATCCTCTTGCCTCCACCTCCTAAAGTGCTAGGATTACAGGTGTGAGCTACTTTGCCTGGCCCTTCCATCTTTTAATAACAGTTATCCTAGTGGATGTGAAATGGTATCTTACTGTGGTTTTGATTTGCATTTCCCCAGTGGCTAATGATGTTTAGCATCTTTTCACGTGTTTATCGGGCATCTGTATAGCTTTAGTGGGATATTACTAAATACTTCTTAGAATAACTAAATAAAGATATCTTTTAAACTGACACTTATCAAGTATAGAATTTGGAGCAACTGGAACTCTAATATGTTGCTAGTGAGAATGTAAAATAGTACAGCCACTCTGAAAATAACTTCGCAGTTTTTTATTAAATTAGAGTTACCATATGATGACCCAGTATATGACCCACTTCTAGGTATCTACCCAAGAAAAATGTGCACACAGAAAAACTTGTCCATGAATGTTTATAGGAGCTTTATCCATAATTATGGTCCCTCAAAACTAGAAACAATCTAAACATCCTTCAACTGATGAATGGACAATCTGTGATACATCCATACAACAGAATACTTCCCAGCAATAAAAAATGATATACTGACACATATTAGAACATGTATAAATCTCAAATGCATTATGCTAAGTGAAAAAAGACAGATTCAGAAGACTACACACCATATGATTTCATTTATATAACATACTGAAAAAGGCCAAACTATAGAAAGAGAAAACAGATCAATTTTTTTTGCCAGTATATAGGGTTTAAGGGAAGGGTTGACTATAAAGGGAAGAAATAAATAGAAGCAATGGAATTACTCTTTATCTTGACCATGGTAATGGTTACATAATTACTCATTTGTCAAAATTTATAGAACTATATATGAGAAATTCTAATTTTACTGTATTTAAATTTAAAAAATAAATATCACAAAAAGCAGAAGGAATAGAATTTAGAGTTGAGGAGCTCACAGAACAGACAAGATTGGAAAGAAAGGAAAAAAAAAATCAGACAACTCAGGAAAGCTAACATCTAACCAACAGGAGGCCCAAAAAGTGATGAAGAAATTTGAGAGGAAGATGATGATGATGACGACGACGACATAAGAAAATTCTAGCACTGCAGAACATGAGTATCCATATTGAAATTCAAATAATCCATGAAGCGGTCACAACAAAGTAAAAAAGATAATCAGCACTGCACATATCAATAAAGTTTCTGAAGTCAAAAACAGGCCATCAACAAAAGATCATCAATAAGAATAGCAATAAAATCCCCCCCCAAAAAAACAAGGAAACAAAACCCTAGATTGGGGGGAAGTTCCTGATTGGGGGGAAATTATTTTGGACTTTAATGTCTACATCATCTATCAGATGGGAGAGTAGAACAAGGTATTTTCAGAAAGGAAAGATTCAAAAACTTTACCGCCCTTTCTCAATAAGTTACTTGAAGATATTTCAAACCAAAATAAAGAAGGCAAACAAACAAAGGGTGAGAAACAGTCCTGGAAATAGGAGATTCAATAGGAGGAAAGTAAAAAAAAGTTTCAGGATAAGGATTAAAGGGAAATCTCTGAAAGATAGACATGCAGTAGGACGAAAGAATGAGCAGGTCAGATGAGGGAGGGAGAGAACTCCAGTGTGGGCATCTAAAACAAAATAATAAATGGTATAGATAACTGTATGTGTTTGAATATATTAAAGTGAGACGTACACTTCTGCCGGAGAGTTTGGGGATATTCTATTAAAAACTGGGCAAATGACAAAAATAAAATTGGATAAAACAAAGTTTTACAGAAAAGGAAATAAAATCATTGAATACTACATAGCTCAGATGTGAACAATACCATACTTAAATAATCATAATAATGTCATAACTGTAATCCCAGCACTTTGGGAGACCGAAGTAGGAAGGCTGCTTGAGCCCAGGAGTTCAAAATCAACACAGTCGCTGGGCTCGGTGGCTCAGCCTGTAATCCCATGCTTTGGGAGTGAGGTGAGTGGATTGCCTGAGCCTGTGGGTTTGAGACCCACCTGGGCAACTTAGTGAGACCTCATCTCTACAATAAATCAAAAAATTAGCCGGGCGTGGTAGCACACACCTGTAGTTCCAGCTACTTGGAAGGCTGAGACGGAAGGATCGCTGGAGCCCAGCAGGTCGAGGCTGCAGTGGCCAGGAGCGGCTGCTGCACTCCAGTATGGGCAACAGAGTGAGACTCCAACTCAGGAAGAAAAAAAAAAAAAAAAACACAGGCGACAGAATGAGAGACCTCATCCCTACCAAAAAAATAAAAATAATTAGCCAGGCATTGTGGCAAGCACCTGTTGTCCCAGCTACTCAGAAAGATGCAGAAGGATCGCCCGAGCTGGTGGTGAGCCGTGATCATGCTACTGCACTCCAGTCTGGGTGACAGAAACCCCCGATAAAAAAAAAAAAAAAAAAAGATCAAAGATAAAAACTGTTGACAAGGATAAAGAAAAGATGAAACTCTTGTACATTGTTGGTGGGAGTGGAAATTAGTACAGCCATTATGGAAAATAATATAGAAGTTCCTCAAAAAACTAAAAAGAACATTACCATATGATCCAGTAATCCACTTCTGGTTCTATACCCAAGAGAACTGAAATCAGTGTATCTAAGGGATATTCACACTTCCCATGTTCACTGTAACATTATTTGTAGTAGCCAAGATATGGAATCAAGTAAGTGTCCACCAATGGATGAATGGGTAAAGAAAATATGGTATATATACACAATGGAATACTATTCAGCCTTTAAGAAGAAAATTCTGTCACTTGTAACAACACAGATGAACCTAAGGGACATTCTG